CGGTTCCGCCGCGAGAGAGGGCTCCTATCAGGCGTGCGGTGCCGCCCACAGAGCATCCTCCATTACTTTTAATCTCCTTAAATGTAGCCTACAGTTGAACCCCGGTAGCACCTACCTTGGGACGAGCAAGAAGTTGGCGGTAGGGCAGGGCTAACGCCCGGTATAAAGTATTACGGGATAGCACCGATTGCCATCCTGTCTCCTGATAGACTTGTAGAGACTGAAGACAAAATGTGGTCATTCTTGCCTCATCAAGAGTTGTCTTGCGCTATTGCCATGCACAGGAGGGGAAAGTGGGCAAGGGCAAGTAGCAACCAATTACAAGTGGCCTAGACTACAGTTCCTGCTAAACTTTAGGTAAATTAAAATTGAAAGAAGCTAGGATTAGAAACTATAATATGACTTTTTTTTTGCCCTCTCCTCTCGACTCCTGACTCTTTCTGCAGCCTTTCTACTGCTAGTCCTTGGCTCCTTCTTACTGCTGTCTTTCAGCCACAAACCTGATCTTCTGGTAGGAAAGATCTACACCTAGCCTTCTTGGACAAGGGCGAAAAATTTCGGAGGCCCCGTGTGCAAGTTGTGCACGTTAAAGATCACTTGGTGGTCTAAAATCGATAAGAGTAGGCTTCGGCCGCCCCTTGGACAAAATTAGAAATGTCCTACCAACTGAAAATGTTTAATGTGTCCCGCGCGCTCATATGCCGTTATGCAGCTGTGAGCGCCGTAAAACACTTTTAAAAAAAAATTTCAATTTTGTTTTTTAAATTGGCTAAAGCATGAAAATAATCACATTTTCGTGATCAGCGCAAAGATAAAGTAAAACGACGACAGAAGCCCTAGAAATAGACCGAACTCGCCGAAACGTTGTGGAGATAAGAGATCAAAAAGCTGCCATCGAACGAGTGCTGTGCTCCGTAGGCCGTGGGTTGTGTATACCTCTAGCGGTCAATTTGCTGGCGGTGTATCGGGGCAAATTTATCTTCGTGTAAAAAGGACGGCACAATTCAGACAGTTGGCGAAAGGCGGATGGAAGTATGAAGGTGCAGCAAATACTATGTTTATATAGGCGTTCCTTTCCGTACATTGGCAAAACCTGGCGGTAAGCAGGGCTGGCAGTAAAACGGAAGGGGGGGGGGGGGGGTATAACAAGGTTTGGCTGTAGGCCTAAAATAGGTCTTTCAGAAATTCGATGTGAAGGAATGACTTAATCAAAACAGAAAATAAAACAATAATATCATACTCAGGAAGGAAAACCAATGAAAGATGTGTATGAATTTCATTTGATGAAGCAACAGCAAAGAGCACCCCATAATGTTTTGGGGGAAGTGTCAGATAGCGTTATTATTGCTAAATTAGAAGGAAAACCCTTTGACATACTGGTTGGTGCCATTCAAGTTTAAAGTATACATACCAAAATCAGAGCATGGCAATGAGGAATGAGGATCAAGAGGAATCTGGATATGGCAACGAAACAACTCAAGTCTCTGGATATGACACTAGTATGGGGGTCTAGTACAAAGGCTGAGACACATGTATACTGACAACCATTAAAAACGCAACGTTTTTAAAAGGCTAAAAGAAAGGCAAATAGGCTCTGATCACCACGATTTTTGGAGACAGAGGTGAGTAGTTGTTAATTCACACGCTTATTCATGATTTTTGTTATTTCCAAGAATACTGTTCATCACAGCACAGTGACCCGTGCTTTTGTAAAACGTGTTACTGAGACGCAATATTACTCATCATGAAAGTCATGAAAAGAATTTAATTCACTTAGAAGATGATAAATGGCTCTTTCCAAACAAAAGTCCGGACATTTTTGCCATTAGTTTTGATTTTGCTTTCATTTCAAGACGCCTCAACTTAGCGAAGCGGACTGCAAGTTTTGCCTCAGTCTTGATCTGGCTCAAGGCGGAAAATCTACCATAGAAACAGCAAGACGGCTAAAATGCAGTGCGTGAATTGTTTCTCGACTTATCCAAAGATTTTAGCATACTTGCAATGTCCACGATGGACAAAAAATTCGACAGCCTCTAGTGACCAGCACTGCTCAAGACAGACAGATTGTGCTGTCACATCTGCAGAATCGTTTCGTTCTTGCAGAAGTAACAGCTCAAGGCAAGCAAAGAGTGCGTAGTTATCCAAAACCTAGAACAAGAACGCCTTACTAGTAGTAGTATTTAGAACTGCTGTTAACGAGTCCGCGACAACATCGCCGTATTCACTGGGCCCAAACAGAACGAGAAAAAAATATCAGAACCTTTCAGTCATCCAACACGACACTCCTACTCTCACACTGCCCATATAACAAACAGCACAGTGTCTGGAAGATCATAACATGAATGTCATGGACTGGCCAGTTTACGTACAGGACAAGTCTCCAACAGCGCGCATAAGGGATGGACTGAACCGCAAAGTGTGTGCAAGAGGCCGTTGTTCTAACCTACTGCAATCGGAGATCGCTCTGCCGCTAAAATGGGTCAGAATTTCTCAATAAAACATTCAAAATATTATAAAATGCATGTGGAGACATCTTTTGGTCTTTAAACATGTAAATGATGGCCGTGCAGTTTACTGAGAGTGGAAGATCTTTATTAAGTTTCGATTTGTGCTTATCTAGAGGGGGTACTCCTA